AACTACCGCTGATGGCAAGATATTGGCGCCGACGCTGAAGAAAGGAAGTCCCATCCCAATACAAGTGCGTGTGGACACGAGGACAGCACAAGAAACGGAATATGATTAAGGACGCCATCAATAAAAACTCTCGCTGTGCACACACCGACGGGCCAAACAAGTACCGCTTTGGCACACCGAAGAGGAGGTCCAGTATACGGCGTCTTCACTTTGCGCAACCGAGAACACAGTTCAGTATTAATGACGGAAATCGCTGCACCTGTGTCTACCAATGCTTCAGTTCAAACACCTTCAATACATATTAACAGGGCATTTGACTGCCGCTGCGGAGGAGTTTGGCTTGTCCTGAAACATGCACCTTTTCCTCTCAAAGCTGCACTTCTTAGTTTTTCGGGCGGTGGCCCGGGGTCGAGGTAGCTGGTCGTAGAGGCGAAGAGGACCGGCGCATCGGTGACGGGGAGCGGTGACGCGGAAAACGAGAAGAATCGGCTTCTTCGAAGCTATGTGGGGATGGCGAGTGGTGTTCGTACCGTCGGTATAGGTCGACTGTGTCGTGGTATCAAACCAGGCAGCTCGTCTCCTTCACAGTAGTCGTAACCTCGCCTTTCGTCCTGTTGGCGTCGTCGGCAAAAGCGGGAAATATGACCACGGATCCCACAATAATAGCATACAGGTCGAGGTGGCGGCCAGGAATTGGGAGGAGGAAGTGACGGTCGTGGTGAGAGAGCAGGCATCGACGCCTGAATTGGAGACATGTGGGGACGTGTGTGAATTGGAGACGTGTGGTGTACTTCGGTAGACCTCATGGCAACAAGTTCACTCCTGGTGATGTTGCGGAGGACGCTGCTGCCGGGCTACGGCGTGCGGAGCTCAAAAGGCGAAGCCACAGCTTTTGTTTGCAGTTCCTCTCGTATGACGGTGCGGATCAATGCACGTGGCTCGCTGTCAGAGGGTGCGCTCAGATAAAACGTGTCAGGTTGCAGAGGTAGCAGATGGAGCTCATCAAGGCGCATGTTGCGACAATTTGGGAAACAGCATAGCGGAATAATGTACCGCAAGCGCGTTGAAATCCGCAGAACCAATGCCTTTGACAAAATGGCGCACCTTGCCGGTCTCCGTCATTGAGTTGCTCACTCGACGACAAAGGGCAAGGACATCTTCAATATAGGACGTATAGGACTCGCCGTTTTGCTGGACACGCTCCGCTAGCTTCGTCTTCGCAATGTCTGAGCGAATAGTTCGCGAAAATCTGTCGTAGCTGGTGTTCGAATGAGGCCCAATCCAGAAAGTCCATCTCGTGATTAAAGAACCAAGTTTTTTGCGACACCAGTCAGGTAAAAGAAGACGCGCGTGAGCTTCGCATATTCGTCTCAGTGGGTGAGTGCACTCGCGCGGTCGAGCTCCTGCAACCAGTCGTCGACGTCGTCACCACGAAGGCCGGCGAATACCGGGGAATCCTTCGGAGGCGTGGCGATCAATCAGGGAGGTTGTGATGCCGGGGCAGACGTCGTAAGCGCTGCCGCGGAAGAGGCCCGACCTCGGCAATGTCTTGTGACATTGCCGAGGTCGGTTGGGGCAAACGGTGATCGGAACGGAGCTCCAGGGATGTATTGGAGTGAAATTCTTAGAGGCAACGGTAGAGCGAGAGGACTCGGTCACCGGACAGCACAATCCACCACTTGAGAGACATCGTTGAAGCCTCCAAAACTCTTCTTTTTTCACACTTGAGCCGAAGCCCGTCTGCCGAGACCCAACCGGTGATGATGAGTATTTACAGGTGAGAAGGTGAATAATATGAATAATGCTAACGGTATTAATATTGCTCGTAATATATACGATATTTCGCGCATAAATAATGAGCAGTCTAAGGTCCAGTACATAAAAAATGGTCACATAGACTACCGGGGATAGATTCCGTACGGATAGGTTTCTATACACGCCCATATATCATGGCTATGTTCATTAATAATAAAGAGAGCAATAGTGGCAACTGTCAACTGTTCGTTAAACTTAATTGTGTACATTGAAAAAGTCTTTGTGCATGAGGATTTTTTTTAACTTGTACGACGTATACTTTGTTTATTGTGAGCATATGAAAGCTTGAAGCCATGTTTTACTGTCATACTGTGTGCTCGATGTGACTGACAGTGTTTTATTTCTTGAAACTTGAAGCCTGCTTCATTCAGATGCCTTGTATTTTGGTGTCATACACAAATGATAACGTTGATGAATTGATTATCCACGTGCAATTAAACGACTATGACTCATGTATGCAGCGTTGGCTGCCCAGTATTCGGCTATTTTTGAGGTTGTTTTTTACGGACCGAAGCTTTCGTGCTTAATATAACGAAAAAAAAAAAAGACGGGCAACGTGAACTATGGTGGCGCGAGGCTAGAACCATCAGCGTATAGGTATAGTGTTCAATATTTCCAAGTTTCGCTAGTAATCCCAAACCCTTGGAACATATGGTAGTTTCTTTTTTCCAAATCGTACTAAGTATGGCCAGACTTAGCTAGACTTTGCTAGATATGTCGCCTCACTACCTGTTACGGGGCGCTGTGATTCTAGTCACGCGACTAGATCTCTTACGTAGTTTACGACGGGACCGCGCCACGTGACGACGCGACTAAGAGTGACAGAATTCCAGTCACTTGACTGGTTACGCGATGTCATGTGATTGTCAGTCACGTTACTTATTACGGGTCTAGTAATTACGGGGATGTTACGCGATTTCAGTCCCGTTACTCGTTTCGGGATGTTACGATATGTTTAGTCACGTAACAGACTCGCGTACTTGTCATAGTATTGGGTATTCCACGCCGAACAAATCGGCGCACGTGTTGTGTGACTGAAGAAGAAGTTGAAGAGAAGGAAACGAGTGCCTACTGGTTCGTGACGATCATAATTCCTGTTAGCTCTGCCCTTAGAGGGCTGCGTTCTTAATAATCGTTGCGCATAATTCATTGATAGATATGTGGGGTTTAACGTCCCAAAACCACCATATGCTTATGAGAGACGCCGTAGTGGAGGGCTCCGGAAATTTCGACCGCCTGGGGTTCTTTAACGTGCACCCAAACGGGAGCACACGGACCTAAAACATTTCCGCCTCCATCGGAAATGCAGCCGCCGCAGCCGGGATTCGATCCCGCGACCTGCGGGTCAGCAGCCGAGTACCTTAGCCACTAGACCACCGCGGCGGGGCTCGTTGTACATAAGCCCCATCTGAGTTACCATTTATACAGCTGAACTGGTTGACGACACTGATGTTTGCGAATTTATTCAGCGAGAATAAGAGGGAAGCTGAGCTTGTTGGTACGTATTCATTCTAAGAGAGACTGGGCGCGCAAACACGGACGCAAGAAAAAAAAAAGATCAGGACACCAGAAACGTGGTTCACTACCAACTGAAGATTCGCACAACGGTGTGAAAGAAAGAAGGCACAAAAGCGTAACTGCGCATGCCCTTGCAATATGCGAACCTGTCACGCGTGGGGGTCAATGTAAAAGCTAACTGTTAAGGAATTTTGATTAATCTTCATTTAAGTCAAATCGATGGTTGGGTCACGCATGCGCTGGCGCTATTACCAATATGTTCATTCCTCAATAATCAGACGCGTCTTGTTATTCATTCCTGTATGCCGATACTCATCAAATGTTGGCGTGAACTTACACTTTCTACAATGTAAAGAAAGGTTGGAAGGGGAGCCTCCGGTTAGCAATCTCCTATGTTCCAATAATATCTGGTTAATGCAGCGGCTCGTCTGTCTTAAGTAGAAGTGACCGCAGTGTAAAGGGACCTTATGTACTCGAATGTCATGCAATCAGTGAAACTGTTGGTGTTTTTTTCTTTATGAAACAAATGTTGATGCGCTTCTCTGCACAATGGCACAAAGCTTACCTAGCTTCAGCAGAGTGACTTGTTGGGCGGGTTTGTTCACTCTTAACGTAGCTTATGGCGCGAAAAAAAAACACACGAGATAAGGACAAGCGCGAACTATCAACTAAATTTATTCGAAAAAGCTTGTTTTTTTTTTTTTTTCGTGCCATGAGCTACGTTAAGTTTCCTAGCTTATTGACATCCGTAAAAATAACATTATCGGCGTATCCGCTTCTCTTCTTTTAGCCTGTGGGATACGCAATGAATGTACGATATACCTACGACGCGTTCCCTCCTATCGCTTTGTGCGGGAACTCGCTCACTGGATTCCGGGCCGACCGGTTGTGCCCCCGCGATCGGGAGCACAACCGGTCGTAATCGTCTACATAGACGTAACCGTCTACATAACGAAAAACCTTAATAATAGAATTACGTAAAGCATCTTATAAACGTTTGTTAATCTTGCTAAGGTATAAATAACTAAGAACTGGAGCAACCTTAGAACCAATACATGTTTTTTTTTTTTATTTCCGCACATAAACCCGTTCCTTCCAGCCTACCAGCGTCGACTTTATCCACATGGAAATAATTTTTTTAATGTCACCGTAAAAACACCACACGTCAGTGAAAGCCATCTTGTGCCCTTCTTCCTCAACATAGTCATTTGAAAATTTTAATACTTTTTAACGAATTATGTGCAACAAATATATGTGACATTTAGTAAAGCAAACCTCTCTATGGCTATTTTGCCTGAGCGAGTGGTTTTGATCTCTTGCTTTCTTCTAGTGTGAGCGACATAGATGCTTGTCAGCCGGTTAGGCTCTCCCTTTATCACGATTTATTTTTCTCGAAAAAGTGCGACCGACAAAGTAAGGAGGGTCATTCGCGTAGCCTTAGATTCACTCTATGCAGCACGTTGGTTCGTTGAGCGCCCGTTCTTCTTGATTTAGGATTTTGGTGCTGACCAGAAAAATTATTTACAGCACAGTCAAATCTCTGCAACGACCCCGCGTCGGAAATATATCTATAATGATGAACGTCTTGAATCTCTCCCCGGCTTAACTGGGTGCCATTAGCGTTGCGCTTTAATACAGCTTTTCCACCCGAGGAATGCAATATTCAGTTCATTGTGTAATGGTTTATTTGCAATTGTATCTAGTTATAGAACAAAAACCACAGTTCTCAATGTGCTCGTTTATTTAAAACGTATGAATAATGCATTATTTACAAGGAAGAGAACTTACATAGCGGAAACACATAGAAACAATCCTGTCTATTTCAAGTACCAGCCTGAATGGCAGCTGCCGGTCTCTTAGGTCTGGAGGACGTCTGAACGTTGAAAGAGTGCACCTTTGACACCGTGCCTATGTCCACATCATTGAATAACATTATTTGCTGCAGCGCCTACTATAGCTGTTCTCCGCTTTCAAGACTCGCAATAATGTCCTATGTGTAACCGTGCAGGTCCATGATGTCAGTGAATGTTCATAATTCACTTAATCGCGCACACTCCCTGACGCTTTGAATCGGATTGTCGTGTTGAACGGCCTTACGCAGTCTTCTTTCTTTCCGCCTTTGACTTTCTAGGCTTGACGTAGCTCTGCACGTAGAAGTTGATGAACAACCCCAGGCCCAAGAGGCCCTGCGACAGCGCCAGCAGCGCGAGTCGCCTCGGGTATCCGCAGTCGTAGAAAAGCGTAATCGTCATGTGCAACATGAGGCCCACGAACTGGGCAATCTGCAGCTTGGTCAGGTAGCGCTTCCACCACAGGTACTTCTGCATTGAAGGCCCCAGGGCAGCGAGGAAGTAGTACGAGTACATGATGACGTGGATTGATGCGTTCACGCACCCGCCGAGCGCCGTCTGGCCGTCACCACCGAAGTTCATGTAGAACCACGCGCTGAACACGACCAGGAAGTGGTGTGCCACGTGCAGGAAGGTGATTTGCGAGTTCTTCTTGCGCAGCACGAAAAATATGGTGTCCAAGAAGTCGCCGATCCTCACGAAGCTGTACCACCAGCCGAGCTTCAGAATGGCCACGTCCGTCTCGGTGGGCGAGCTGTAGTTGATGCCTTGACAGAACAGACTGTAGTGGCCGCTGGCGTACGTCAGTCCGAATAGCTTCACGGTGAAGTAGGCGTTGGCCAGCACGGTCAGCGCGTTGTACGTCAGTACGGCCCACCTGAGGTTAAACGGCTTGCGGTCTTTCATCCAGCGGGGCCCAGCGATTTTGACGAAGTAGACGTAGCCGATCAAAAGCGGAAACACAATCCGCGCATCTTGTACGCCTCCCCATCCGCTGGTTCGTGGATCTCTGCGCGACGCGAAGTAGTAGTCGAACCATTCGGCCATCTGCGACGCCTGTCTGAGCTTTTGCAGGGATGCCATGTGCGTCCACTGTGCGGCGCCGGCGAACGGGTCACTTGGAGCGAATGCCGTTTCAGTGGAATACCGGCGAGGTGGGATCTGATCGGGGTTTGAAGGATACATGTATATATATATATATAGCGATGTATGCGAAACGTGTGAGGAGGCGAAACTGAAAGAAAGTAAAACAATTTCATCTTGGTTTTCCCGCTTGTAACACTTCCCGTTCTTTGCCTTCTAATTTCCAATCGTGAACACTTCGAGAACACTGGCGAGTCCGAGACGACGAGGCACGTGTGGCCGGTAAAGAACGCTGCTCCTTTGAATGGGAAGGATCGTGAGAGACAAAAAAAAAATTGTTTCCCGCTTCTCTCGCGCTGCTGCAGCGTGGGAAATGGCTTATTCCTAAGTCTTCGCACCGAAGCTTTGACGTCATAGCGCGTGTTCCTTGAAAAAGATATCGCACGCTAGCGGGCATCGTGCATTGTGTATAGTGGTCGATACCTGTGAAGGAAAGTATACTGCAGTAAGGACGAAGTTCATCACACGTCAAAACATGTTCTCCGCGCCAAGGTGGATAAAAAGAAACCTTCTCGACTTCATTTCAACCTTGTTGCCTTGTGAGGTCAATCATTCGTTCGCACTGGTCGTGGCGCTCACGAAGGACGCGGCACTTTCCGATCTCCCTTCTCGCAAGTCATCGTTCACTATATAATCAGCTCGGTGCGCTCGCCTTTGCCATGCTTAGCTAGTGATGACGTATGGGTTGCATTTCTGGTTGCATATGCCGCATTTATTGCCACGTCATAAAATGAAGCAATAACCTTCACGGGGTTGCTACTGTTCGGATCGTCGTCGTGAATCGTTTTGTAGCCTATTTTATGTCCCCTGCAGAATGAAGGCCTGTCGCAACGATCTGCGAAAATGGACGATACCAGTGAATGGACTAGGCATGCACTGTCGACGCAACAAAAACTTCTGTTGAGAATGAATTCTGTTATTGATTTATTGATATGTGAGGGTTAGCGTCCCAAAACCACCATATATGATTATGAGAGACGCCGTAGTGTAGGGCTCCGGAAATTTTGACCACCTGGGATTGATTCCTTAACGTGCACCCAAATCTGACCCGTTATTTGTAAAACTCCAAGCTGTGTAAAAAAAAAGGCCCATGTGTCAAGGTAAAGAATAAAACAGAACACGTTAGAGAATATAAAACAGCACTTGGGAAGCAGGTAACATATATAGATCATTATTTTGCGCAAAGATGCGCACATGTGATATAGACAGTCGTTTCTCTGCGCCTGAATGAGGCGTTTGTATTTTTTATCTATTGACGTGAAGTGCTTTTATTTCTCTTGCGAATTTTCTGCATTGATATGAAATTCTAGTTTCATCGTTAAAAACGTATATACGGTGGGATTTTCGAAAATGACTTGCCAGTTGATAAGCGAGAGCGGGCGATGAGAGTGGGCGTTGGTGTTCCTGCAATGGCGTCTGTAAGCAGCACCCGCTCCGTCCACAGGCCAGTGAAAGCAAATACGTGTCGCATTAGTAATCGATGTTTCATGCTTAGTACAATGAATTTGATCTCTTGCAACTAGCCAACAACCTGACGCTTAAACAAGTCCCACTGCGTCGTCTCTATAATTGGGTACGTTTACAACGTCCGTCACACACTGCTTGCCTCTGGCTGTCGGTAGCACGAGTGACACTCGCGACATATGGTGCACGTGCTCCTGCAACGACAAGCAGAGCATCCGAAGGGTCATATTTGCAACCATGAGAGAGGGGGGGGGATTGTTTGTGCGTTTGTGTATGTGCCTGTGTTGGTTTGTTTGTGCGTCTCTGTGGACGCGCGCGAATCGCGGCTGAAGCTTGTAATGAGAACCAGATAAGTGAGTGCGATAATTCAAATTATACAACGTATCAGCCGAACGTAGATGAAACCGTGTAATAGGGTGCTGTGCGCCGCGGTGGATCACTGGTTACGGGGCTCGGCTGCCGACCCGAAGGTCAATCTCGGCGGCACCGGTTGCATTTATTTCCATGAAGGCGAAATGATAGAGACTTATGTACTGTGTGATGTCAGTGCTCGTTAAAGAACGCCACATGGTCGAAAATTCCGGAAAATTACTATACGGCGTCGCTCATAATGGTTACGTAGCCCCGCCGCGGTGGCTAAGGTACGCGGCTGCTGACCCGCAGGTCTCGGGATCGAATCTCGGCTGCGGCGCGGCTGCATTTTCGATGAAGGCGAAAATGCTGTAGGGCCCGTGTGCTCAGATTTGGGTGCACGTTAAAGAACCCCGGGTGGTCGAAATTTTCGGAGTCCTCTACTATGGCGTCTCTCATAATCGTATCGCGGTTTTTGGACGTTAAACCCCACATATCAATCGTAATGGTAACGTTGTTTCGCACTTAAGGCGCCATCATTACATGTGGCCTAGACATTAACATATATAAGAAATAACTAACTCAATATGTAGGATTATACCGTATAGGACGTAATTTCCCTCTAATTAAGGGCAATTTTGTGCCCTCATGCTGAATACAGCATTCAGCAGCACGTGCACTTTGTATCATTTCATTTTACAATTTTCTTTATTATTTTTTATCCTTTTTTGTGAACAATTATGAGTAAGTGCTAAAATGATGCAAAAATTACGGAATTCCTACATATTGTGCCATTACAACACAGTGTTCGGTCTGCCTACAATAAACACGGGGGATCTGACCTGCATCTGTGGTCGTTAGCTTCGAGACCTACACAACACAATAGACACACAAAGTTCAATTCAAAGACTGGTTTTCTTGGTTGTAACGCGAGTAGTGTTCACGCTTGAATGTCGAAGCAACCAGGCTTTTCTTGAAGGGCAGTGATTGGACTTTAGTTTTCGCTGAGCACTTCACACCGCTTTCTGTTTCGCCGCCTCGGGGTACGTCTTCACGTAAAAGTTAATGAAAAGTCCAAGCCCGAGAAATCCTTGTGCTAATGATAAGATCGCGAGCGCCCGCGGATAGCCGCAGTCGTGGAACAGCGTGATGGCCATGTGCAGCATGAGGCCGACGAACTGCACGATCTGCAGCTCGGTGAGGTAGCGCTTCCACCACAGGTACTTCTGCATCGAAGGTCCCAGGGCGGCGAGGAAGTAGTACGAGTACATGATGACGTGGACGAACGAGTTGACGCAAAGTCCCAGCAGTGTTTGGCCGTCGCTGCCGAAGTTTGTAAAGATCCACATGTTCATCACTACCAGGAAGTGGTGGAGGACGTGAAGGCAGGTCACCTGGGAGTTTTTCTTTCGGGCCAGAAAGAAGAACGTGTCCAGGAAGTCGGCGATTCGGACCCAGGAGTACCACGAGTGCAAGTTTACGATGGCCGTCGTGTGCTCGTCGAAACTGGACTCGTAGTCGATGCCCTGGCAGAAGAGGCTGTAGCCGCCCTGCAGATAGGAGTGTCGCAGGTACTGGATGCAGAAGTAGGCGTTCGCGACGACGGTCGCGAAGTTGTAGGTCAGGATAGCTCCTCGTAACTTGAAAGGCTCGCGATTCTTCATCCAGCGGGGACCAGCGATCTTGGCTACGTACACGTAACAGATGAGCACTGGAAAAATGAACCGCGCATCACGGTGGAGGCTCCACTCCTTGATCCTTGGGTCGCGCAAGGACCACACGTACTCGTACAGGCTGCGGATGTGGGACAACGGCGAAGCGGAGGACACTTGCATACTGGTCACACTCACACAGGCGCTGGCGTTGCGGAGGCGGTAGTAACCTTTGAAATTTCAGCACTCGGGACCTCTTGGAAAGTTTAGCTCCGACTTGTACCCTTGCGTGGCACACGGACCAAATCTGCACACCGTCTGTGTGGAAGCAGCAGGAAGAGAATGTCGTTGAAGAACGATCAGGACATTAATTCTGATGTATTCAAATGAACGAGCGAGGAGACTAATCCGATCTCGTCGCCGTCCGTTGATGTACTGCCGTGGAGGAAGAAAAAGAAATCCAGCAGGAACACGGTGTCGTTCGGCGACCCATCGGAAGTCAACTTACATTCACGCCATCGTCTCCTCTCAATTTGGTGCCGCGGGACGCCTCGAACACGTACCGTACAGGTGCCCTGCAAATTTCTAAGTGCGTCGAGCTTTGAAAAAAATAATAATAAGCCCTCTTCGTCAGTATATCATAAAAATGGCTGTCCCTGTATTTTGTGTAATTTCATAATTCGCTTGTGCAGTTGTTCGATATATCGTTTTATTGTTTTTCTCCTATCATAGCGCACGTCTCTCTGTCGCCCAGGCCTATATAGTCGTAGTTGATACGGCAGAACCGATATGTGTTGAAGACGAGGAAACCGTTCGTACCGTTGTTCTCGTGTATAGAGTAGCTTCGGTAAACTGCCTGAGTAATAAGCGTTTTAGAACGAAAGCTGTTATGAGATCACAACAAGAGTGGCGTGCGGTGCTGTAGTTGTCAGCCGCCGCTGCCGCCGTCCGTAACCACTACCGCGTGAAGTAAGGGGAAAAATTCAAAAAAATATCAAACACCAAGCACACAATGAGATTTGAACCCGGGTCCCTTGCGTGCCAGCCCAGTATTCTACCACTGAGTAACGCTGGTGTTTGCGACTGCTTACGCGACGCTGGTGTTTGCGACAGACGCTGCCTGCGTCGGCGTTGCGAGGCGATAGAGGAAGAAGCGTAGGAGGGGAGAGAAAGGAGAGAGGACGTGCCCGCGCAGTAAGGGTGGTCACGCCGCGCACCGGATGGAGCTCAACCAATGAGAGTTTGAGAATTGGGGGCCCAAGACATTGGGTTGCGTAGGTTGCTCTTGCGTTCGCAGGATCAGGAGAGTTTGAGAACTGTGCCAAACGCAAGCTGCAATGGGTCAAACGCACGAGGGTGCCACCCGTGGCCAAATTCGAAGTTATGCAAGTCACCGTGGCTCGCGCTGCTCTGCTTCGTCTCGCTGGCGATCCAACACGCCTTGGCGCCTCACCCTTCAGCACTGTGGAGGCTACAGGGCTCCTAAGCCAATAGAAAGGGCGAATAGCCTCTCCACGTGTATCATTCGCGTCATGTCGTCTCTTCACCGTCTTTACGGCATCTGTTCGCCGAATTGTCTATACTCACTCATTGGATTTGTTGCTCTGCATACTGAAGACCGGTAGGCGCTCACTCCGGCGGATAACTTCACTTTGGGCCCTTCTAGATCCCACGTCGACCAAATACCACATTCACACCGCTACCCAACCGCTAATTTACCTAGAATAGCAAAAAGGCACAGACATTATGACACACATAAAAAAACCTTTGCATTTCTCAGCCCCTACCGGCGGATCCGAACGCGCTCCCTTTAACACTCCCTGATCCGGACGAAAACTTGGATGCAGATATCACGCTTGCAGAGGTAAAACAGGCCCTTTCTTGTATTACCCGGGACGCTGCACTAGGGCCGGATCGTGTAACATACAAGATCCCCCGAAACAGATGACGTGTCTCTACATGAGCTCACGGATCTCTTTAACGAACACTAGAGCAAGGGCACACTGCCCTGTGTTTGGAAACATGCACAGATTAAGCTGATTCCGAAATCGGGCAAATCACTACTTCTCGAAAATTTACGACCCATCTCGCTCACGAGCTGTGAAGGTAAACTTTTTGAGCATGTTCTTCTCCGTCGACTACAGCCATATTTAGAAGCTAGTAATTTCTTTCCCAACACCCAGTTTGGTTTTCGCCCCTACCTATATCGGCGCAGGATGTCCTCTTGCATGTTAAAGAGACTCTATTTCATCCCAAACGGCAGACAGCCCAAACCAGAGCCATCCTCGCATTAGACATACAAAAGGCTTTCGACAATGTAGGTCACGAACACATTGGCCACAACTGGCTGTGGTCGTAGTACCTGGCATTATGTGAAAGCCTTTTTGGAAAAGCGCACCGTCGAGGTAAGATTAGGTACACTCACATCCGCAACTTTTTCCCTCCCAAACAGGGGGCACACCCCAGGGAGCTGTCCTATCGCCACTCTTATTCAATGTTGGCTTGGCCCCCATTGGCGAAAAAGCTCTCTGATATTCCTAAATTACTGCATGCGTTTTACGCCGATGATATGACTTGAGGGTGTGCCATGGCTCTATTGGGGAGGCACAAGACGTTCTACAATCTGCCATCAACGTCATCGAGCGGCATATTAGTAGAATGGGCCTCCACTGTCCGCCAGAAAAGTCGGAATTACTTATAATTAAACCCCGAATGCATGACCCAAGCATTGACCTGCACGTGCATGGTCAACCTGCGCCAAGAGTACATAAAATCAGGGTATTGGGTCTACACATACAATCAAACAGACGCAAACTACACCTTCAACATTCTTGATAAGCAGATAAAGCAAATTTCAGGACTGATGCGCCGGATTGCGTCGCGCAATCATGGCCTATCTGAAAAAGACACCATGCAAATTGTTGAAGCTTTGGTGTTAAGTCGCCTCGCTTATGATCTTCCGTATCACCACCTCTTAGAAGCGAATGGAACGGGCTAACAGTCTAATCAGGCGGGTGGTTAAAACCGCATTGAGGTTGCCGATGCGCACCAAAACTACTCTCCTCCTGGAGACTGGTCTGTATATTACAGTCCAAGAAATAATAGAGGCACAGAGAAGCAATCAGCTCTTGCGCCTTTGTCGGACACTTACAGGGCGGAACCTGCTCCGAACCCTGGGGCTTGAATCAAGCGACACGATGCGTAACGAAGAAGCATGGTCGCCTATTCCAATAAGGGCCGCTGCACACATGCAACTCAAACCATTGCCGCGCAACATGAATCCACAACGCCATTCGGGCCGACGCGAGGCACGCGCTGATTATTACATACGGCGGTACAGAAATCGTGAAGACGTCCTCCATGTCGACGCTGCGGTATACGCCCACTTGAAGGAACGGCGACGGCTGCTGCCATGACAGAAGACGGGCACATTAGCATTTTCGCGTCCGTTAGAACGGCATGCCCCGATGTGGCTGAGGGGGTTGCACTATAGCGCTAGCAGTGGTGCGTGCGGCCGCAGATTTTACCATTACAGAAACTTGCACTGATTCCCAGAGCGCTTATCGATACTTCGGTCAAGGCATAGCACTAAAGACAGTCTGACGCATACTGAGCAACATTCCTTCACTTCTCCATCCGGTGACTATCACGTGGGTGCCTGGCCATGAGTGTATCCCCGGGAATGAGCGCGTTCATGCGCATGTCCGAGGTCTTTCCATCTGGACCCTGGGGGCTCGCTCACCCAAACCCATGAGAAAACCACAAGAGGGAATCCGTACCTACCATGAGATTACGAGGTATTACCTTAACGGCAGACGAGATTTACCTGCCCCACACTTCTCCCTCACCTCTAATCAGAGTTCAGTTTGGTGCCAGCTGCAGACAAAAGCATTCATTTCTCCCCATCTGGCACACCTATTTTACCCCACTCTTCACCAACCACATTGCACCACCTGCGGGGCACCCCGGGCTGATCTTTTCCACTGCTTGTGGAACTGGCCAAAGCCCGTGGCGGTAGACCCTATCCCTAACCCTTCTCCCTCCTCCTCCCTCGTGGGAGGCCGCTCTTCGGGTCACTGGCTCGGACGACCACTTAAGCTGGTGCACCGGGCCTGCTTAGAGATGTCGGCCAGGGGGCTCCCGGACGTCTAGGGGCCCAACCACATTTACTTCGAGTCTTTTTTTTTTTGTCAAATAAAGTTGTATCCTCCTCCTCGTGCCCGTTTCTCTCTGACGCTTATCGTGGCTCTCCGTCGACGCGTTCCTTCGCGTCTCCCGCTGTAATTCTTTTCTCTCTCTTTTTTTTCCATAGTGTGTGTGTATTATGGCACCAGTACTTTGAAATCTAACTCATACAGACGTCAGCTGCGTCCTGCCGCGGTGGTCTATTGTGGCTACTCGGCTGCTGACCCGCAGGTCGCGCGATCGAATCCCGGCTGCGGGGGCTGCATTTTCGATGGAGGCGGACATTGCTGTAGGCCCATGTGCACAGATTTGAGTGCACGTTAAAGAACCCCAGGTGGTCAAAATTTCCGGAGCCCTCCACCACGGGGTCTCTCATAATCATATGGTGGTTTTGAAACGTCAAACCCCACATACCAATCATCAATCAGACGTCAGCTGCGATTTGTTTATGCCGAATTTTGTTTATGTAGCGGTTGTTCGAAGAATTTGCAACCTTTTGTGAAACTCGGTGCTATATACAACAGATGAGAGTTGTAAGATATAGAGGCGTTTAAGTCATATACTAGAGATGGCAACATTATTGGTCGTTTTGCTTGCTTATACTCCAGATGTCGCAGCCGTGGAATTTACAGTGACGTCATAATGTCACACCGTTGTGTGCTCTGCAAAAAGTGACCCTTGATTTAGTGAATGAATGCGTCGGTTTGTAGAGCCCACCACAGATCTGGCGAGATGGTATAATGATGGAGTTGGTCCACTACGAGTTTTACGCTTCCTCAAAAAGCAAGCAGTAGAAAAATGAATAGACAGTAAAAGTCTGAATGAACAATGGCGTAAACCATGGCGGTTCCTGTGAAACGGGCGTCCGAATGGCTCAGCAGTTTTCTCAAGTGTCATAAGCCGGTGGGGGCGTTCATTTCTCACCGCTATTTCTCGCTATTCGGTCCGTTTGGGAAGGTAATGCGTGTGACAGTTTCTGTAATTTATTTAGGTCATTAACTCGGCTGGTGGTGTTTTTTTTTTTTTCGTATTGTGAGCCTAATGACTCTTCTCTCGCTCCTTCGCAGTGGTTTGGGAACCTAAGCCTCCGCCCTCCTTTCCCCACACACTCGCGTATGCGCACACCGTTTGTGGCAAGGGATTTTCCGTGGAAAGGATTTGCTGTGCCGAGATGATTAATGGAACTCGGGGCACGTC